CTCTTGGTCTTCTCGACCTTAGTGTTATTCCATCAAAAATGATCTCCAAAGGGTAGGCAAGATATGCCAAAAAATGACTAAGGAGGTTCGGTCAAACTTTCAAAAGAAATATGGACAGATTCTGGATTTGCTATTGATCTCGGTATAAACCCCTATGTTAAGTGCATTAGCCCAATATTGGAATTCAGATCTTAGATGTTTTGAACTGCCTTATCTGGATTTGGTTCCCACAATTGAAGAATATGAGTTGATACTAAGGTTACCCCTCAAAGAAGAAGCCGATGTCTATCTATATAAAGGGAACTATGTATCAAAAGGGAAAATCGTTGGTTTAATTGGCTTGCCATCACAACAAGCAGAATTGATAAACAAAGGTGCGACTCAAGGGTGGAATAAAGGTCTTTTGGAAGATCATATGATATCTCTATCTGAGAAAGGTGATTGGGAACATTTTAACAAAACTCTAGCTCTACTTATTTATGGGCTAATCTTGTTCCCATTCACAATGGGTTTGATAGATCAGGCAGCCATGGATGTGTTCTTCGCTTACGAAACCCACAAAAAGAATCCTGTTCCAGCCATTCTTGCAGATAGTCTCCTCTCTCCAGAAGTATGCCATCAAAAGAAAAGAGGAATGCTACGATGTTGTAATCACTTACTATATGTCTGGATCATGACTCATTTATATGCTTCCAATCATATGGATATATGCCAGATCCCCTAAGAAGTTTCCATCGCATTCCGGTGAAGAAATTAGAAGCATTAGAGTGGAAAGGAAATATTTCGACATTAGAAGAAGAGCATTTTACATGGGTATGCCCTTGGTACCATCCCAGAAATACAATCTTTAGTTGTGGGGATTTTGTGAATGTTCCATTAATGGGGTTGAGAGGATGTGTAGCATACACCCCAACAATCGCTCTTAGACAACTCAAATGGACTCAATTTGTGCCTCGAAACGAAGAGTTAGGAGGATTGAGCTTTCAATATGCTTCAGATAATATGAGGCAACAGGCAGAAGTTAGAGCTCCATGGGGGAAGGTTAAAAAGAAAGGGGAAACAGATCTCGGAAAACCTCGTATGACAGCCTCTTTGGAATATAAAGAATGGAGGAAGGCTAGAAGAATTTCCATCCCGATTCTCAAAGAAGTCCAACAGAAAGAGAGTCAATCTCACGAAACCAACCAAGCATTGGCTTCTTTAACCTCTTAATTTGAAGTTATGAAAGCTCAAATGAGATTGATGGAAGAAAATGAAGAGCGTGCTCAAACTGAAATAGAGATTCTTAAGAGGCAGTGTCAAAAGAAGGACATGGAAATTGAACACTTAAAAAATGAATGTGCTGATGCTTATGAAAGTTCAACACATGTGAAAAAAGTAAAAAGAATGGAAGAAAAAAAGACAGAAATACTCTTGAAAAATATGGAAAGAGAGATTGAAGCAATGAAAAAAGAGATGGAAAAAATCCAAGAAGAAAAGGAGCGTTCAGAAATAGGTGGTCGTGAAAAAGAACAAAAAATAGAATGCATGCAAGAGGAGCTAACAGATGCACACCAAGAGATAGAGAAATGGTGGAATGTGGCTATAGAATACTCTGAGTCACTCAAGATGGTTAGTCAAAATGAAGAACAATTGTTAAGAAGAATTGACGATTTAACATTAGAGCAGGACCAGCTAAAATCTGATGTTAATGGGTTACATTTAATTGTAAAACACCTTCGTGAGAAGGTGAAAGAGTGGATGAAGATGTGTGGAGACATGACTGATGCTGTCCAAAAACAAGTAGAAAGCTTGAAGACTCATGTGCACGAAGTAAATGAAGAGATCAACTCAAGTCCTGGAATGAAGCTTCCTTGGAAGATCTTCAAGCTCGTGAAATTTTGCCAAAATTTAGCTAGGAGTCTCATGTAAAATGAGAAAATACAATTATTGTAACCCATTTTGATTTGGAATATAATAATAGCACATTTGACTTGATATATTATTTGTTTCACACATCATTTATTGAGGAGAGAATTCTCTCTTGAATGATTGTTAATCACATTTTTATCTTGAGATAATTGATCCTTGTTTGGAGATGTGGTTCGTACTGTCGCATTGCTAGTAAGATGACCTTATCCATTGAGGAGTGAATGCTCCCTTGAAATAAGTGTCAACCGTTGTATAACCTAAGGGGTTTTGCCTCTAGCGTTCAGATATGGGGAGTCACTCTTTAATTTGAATACAAAATCAATATTTTCAAAAAATAATAATAATAATAATAAATAAGTAAATAAATAAATAAAATAAAAAAATTGTCTTTTTCTTCTTTTATACTCATAAATTCAATTTGTATTTAGAAAGTAATAAAGCAAAAAGACAACAAAGTGTTTCCTCGACATCGTTATAGAACACGCTCTTAGGCCAAGATCATGGATGAGATGGAGGAACGCAACGAAGAAATGAGAAATGATATCAATCAATTGAAGGAACAAATGGCCCAAATTATAGAGATGTTGCAATCCATACAAGTGAAAAATGTAGAAGGGACCCCTCCGGTAGTTAGCGAAGAATCATCAACCTCTCCTATGTATCCACCTGGCTTTACCTCAGCCTCAGCACAACCATTAACTCTACATCTTAACAAATTCGGTCAACAAGTTGATCCCCCAGAGGTCCAATGGCCACCATATGGCCTTCCGCCCAACTACACACCTCCAACAATCATGGATCCTCCGGATAATCATCAACCGTTGGTGAATCAGCCACCTACACAAATGCAATCTACCCAACCTGAGATTTCACCCGTGAATGTCACCTCTTATAAACATCAAGTTCCCTACCAACCCCAAAATGCTAATTTTATCAACCAAGGGAATCCTTACCAAACTTCTGGGGGATATCAACCAATCTCTTGAATTGAGCACGTTCAGTCTAGTGAAAAATTACAAATGTTAGAAGAGAGACTAAAGGTTGTTGAAGGAGGCAGTTATGATATCGATGAAGCTGTCGATCTTTGTTTGGTTCCGGATATAGAGTTCCCCCCAAAGTTCAAAGTGCCTGAGTTTGATAAATATAAAGGAACAAGTTGTCCAAAGAATCACATGACCATGTACTGCAGAAAGATGGCAGCGTATGCTCGCAATGATAAGTTTCTTATTCATTATTTTCAGGATTCTTTAACTGGGGCAGCTTT